CTTCTAGCCTTGACAGATTTATACAAGGTGATCAAGGCCACCAAATCATCAAGTACATCAACATCAAGCGCCAGCATGCTCATGCTTCCAGGACCTTCAGATGATGCTATCATGGTGGCCAAAGAACAACTGTTGTCTTACCTTACTCGAGATGTGGAAGAGGTCGTGTCTTTCCATAAAAATCTAGTCAGTACTATAAACACCCTCAAAAAACATTCTGGGTTTCCTGAGAGTATCAAAATTTCTTTGAACAAGTTGCAGCACCAGCTCCAATTCATTGTCTCCAATGTGGATTCAAGTTCCTCATCCACTGCAGAATATGTGAGGAAGGCTAAGCTTAGAGATAAGGCTTTTGAAGACTTCCAAATTGCCTTGAAGCCTTACCCAGAGATTAGAGAGCAAGCTGGGAAGCTTACCACTACAAAAGAAGAACTGACCGTGGAGCTGAACAGGATTCAGAAAGAATTGGAACAAGTGGAACATGAAGAGTTTGAGTTGGACTAGACAGCTAGTGCCATTCTTAATGACCCCCAATATTATCTGTTTTCATCTCTAAATATGATTAGTTCTTTCGGGTACAACACGTATAATTCAGCATTTATTATTCTACCTTCCGTTTTGATTATGATAGTAAGTTCGGTTATTCTTGTGGTAATATTCGTTTTTTCTAGCTCACAAAAGTTGTAACTGAATTTCAGAGTCCATGACATTAGATGTTGATATTTTTATTATTATTTAGCAAACATGTATGTTTTGGGTACACATTATTCAGTGCTAATTATTTTTAGCCGAGAAGAAAATTTAATTATGGTGATTTATCTTATTCTTGTAGTAATAATATTCTTTTTTTTTTTTTTTAGGTCGTAAATAGTATAGAATGGTAATAGTGACAAAATGAACAGATTTTCTAGAAGTGTATGTGTGCATGACTAAATTATTGACAGAAAAAACATTTTTTGGAGTTTTTCTTTTATGGTTCAAACAAGTTATAGAAGGATTTTCATTTGAACAAGTTTTCGATAACCGGTGTATCCGGGGTTCTTTTTCAACTAATTCACGGGACACCATGCAAAGTGCCTTCTCCACACGGATTGGATAAATCTCAGGCTTTCACCCACGGGCGTGGCTCCAATGTATTGTTTGCATCAAGGGGAGTCAAACCTTAAACTAAATGGTTCATGAGGCACCTTATTTACGTAATAGCATTCTAGAATATATTTGAACGAAGAGATTCCCTAATTTATACTCCAGGATCTGAGATCCTTTTTGTTTTGCCCATTATTCTGCTCCCACAAACACTAACCCGAAATGGAGCTGATGATTTTGATCCACCTGCCATGGCCGTCATGAAGTTGCTGGCCAAATCCGGCTACTAAATTTTCTTGTTTATCCCTTTTTTGTTTTTTGTTCTTCTAACATTTAAATAATTACAGTTTTTTTACTGGTTGGAATTTTCTTAGACAATGTGTAGCAAGTTATTTCTTAGGTTCTATAGAGGTCACCGTTACACTTCAACACTGAAAAAGAAATTATTGATTGATTTTTAGTAATTTCGGTGTCACTAATAGTTCTTCTACTATGTAGTCAGATGTAATTCTATGAAGTCAATTTTGGAGGCAATGATTGTTCCAATGGTCTATTTTAATGGAACGGTCTCGTCTATGTTATTTTTATTTATTTATTTTTATTTTAATGACAAAAATGTTAGGGATTAGTGATTTGTGACTACAAAATCGAGAATGCAACAATATTTTATCATTATTGTTATTAGAGTTGACTCATTGAAGAGAAAGTCAGCTTATCATATCTGATTTCCCCTTCTCATTGGTTTCAATTCTGATTTTTCCACTCCACAAATTTATCATTTTTCAGAATAAAAATAATGAATATTTTCTTTAAAAACAGATATTCTAAGTGGCTTTTTATTTTCAAATGTGATAGTTTCTGAAAATGCTTGAGCAGGCTGCAGCCAATGTGTTGTTCTCAAATTTTAATTTTCTTGTTTATTTATTTTAATTTTCTCTTAGAAAACAAATTAAAGTGAAAAGTTGAGAGCTAAAGTCTATGTAAAGCAAAATAGTTGGTGTATTATATGTCTGACAAATTAATAATAATAATAAAAATAAATAAATAGGAGGTACAATATAAAAACGATAACACAGTTCGTGGAGTCAGAGTTGTTGGACCAAGATCATGATTTAAAAAATAAGCAAGATGGTTATGGAAAATTTAAATTATAATACTGCTCTTTATAATTATTAGATTTTATTAATCTCTTTCCTCCCTTCTCTCAGACAAATAAATTAAGTGTAATGTAGGAAGCAAAAATATTAAGCCAAATTATTTGAATAGTACCATAGCACTTTTGAAAAGGAGGCCAAAATTGAAAGCAAAATTGATGCTTTGGTTGCTTATGTACTGTAGCAAAAACATTTTTCACACACCCAAAAAAAAAAAAATAATAATAATAATAAATAAATAATAAAACTATAAAACTGACATTTTTCAAACTTGCAATATATTTTTACCAACTATGTTGCATAATTTAATTTAATGGTATTGTACACTTGATACTGGATGCAAATACCTACAAGCATGATTGGGTTTGACTTAAGCACAGCTAAAGAAATTTTCTAAAATCTTTTGATTAAATACAATTACTTTGGACAAAGGTAAATTCTATTTTGAAATTAATATTTGATTATATGGATGTATTCTTGACAATTCGTCATATGCCAAATAATCTCAATATTCTAAAAAAATAAATAAATAAAATTACATAAATAAACATATTAAAACAACCTTATTTTTTTATTTTTTTCATGAAAGAAGGATTAAATCTGCTCTCGTACCATAGCCGGACGTTGCTCGGCCATCGAGATTGAGGAAGATTCAATCTCCTTACTTGCAAATGCTTTGGAAAATTTCCGGTAACAAACAACCACAAAGACCGCAACGAGGACGAGGCTAATAGTCTCGGCGACACACCACGCTATGTCCATTGCTTTGACATGTCGGCTTGGATGTCCATGTTTCAAATCCTTTATTCTAGCCTTCATGTCACGTATTATCAACCGTTAATACAAACCGATAAAGGATGCACCGACTACAAGAACAACCAATGAGCAAACCAGGTCATCAATCTGCTTATTTGCCATCCTTTCCACAACTTATCAATAAACAAAAAACGATCGAGTATATATATATATATATAGTGATCTCTCACTCTCCATAGAGTAAGAAAATTATTCGCTCTTTCTATAGCAACTATTATTAGATTAAATTTAATAATCACGTTCCAAACTCACGTATATCTATTCACTGTTTTTAGTTTTCAAATTTAATATTTATTCACGTATATCTATTCACGTATATCTATTACTAAGTATAACATAAATACCTAAAAGATAAAAATAGAAATCTAGAAATCACGTCTCCCACTAATTGGATTTTAGTTTTCTTTGAAAAAAATATAATAATAAGTGTTTGCAAATTGCAACCATTCACATACGAAACATGACAAGTCAAGGTAAGTGTGATTTGCACAACACTATTAAATTTTTTATAAATGAAGTGTTGTGCAAATCATTGTTGTATATCTCCCAAAATGGATGCTATTTAAAAATTAAAAATTTAATATATTTTTTCCTAACCCCTCTGTCACAAATTGTCTCATCTTCCTTATTAATTTTATTAATTTTTTATTTTTTTTTTTTCAGATTCTAACTAATTATAAATACATTCGAGTATATTAGTGTCATAATAAGTGCACAATATCTTCTATCTAGTTCTACTATAATAATAAAAATTTATTGACGTAATGAGGAGATTCACTACAAAACATGCTATTATTATATGAAATTTCATATTTCTTTTGTAAATTAATTATTTTCTTTAATCTTGTTATTATTATACTATCATCATTTTTTTGGGTAAATAAAATGGGCATAAAAGGCAACTAATTAATATGTAAAGTTACAATAAAAACATCAATCCATCACTATTATTACATTCAATGTCTCTAGAGGAGAGGCTAAATTTGTCATCTTGAACTTCTGCAATTTCTTTTTCTCACTCAAAATAATAGGCAATGTCAACTTTAGTATTAAGTGATGGATGCAATTTTTTAACACTTTATTTTTTCTTTCAAAGAAAACAAAAAATCCGTTTAGTAGTGTGAGATGTGATTTAGAGAACTATTTTTATTAAATGTTAAATTTGGAAACTAAAAATAGTGATGGTGGTTTTGTATTAAAAGAAAAGCATATATGTGAATTTGGAATGTGACCATTATAATGGTTGCTATAGAAGGAGCAATATATATATTTTTTTACCCCATGAAAAACAAGAGATCAATACGCATGTATGTGTGTGTATATATATATATATATATATATATGAGAGAGAGAGAGAGAGCAATAGTATAATAGTGTGAATTGTTGAGAATTTTGAAGATTTTAGAACTCCTTAGTTGTAGGAGTTTGTGTTTGAATAGTTTTAAATTCTTTTTTTATTTGATTTTTTCGTTACTTATATGGAATTAATTTACCATTTGATGATTTGAACGAATGTTAGGAAAGTTTATTAGTCATTATTTTCTCCCGTGATCTCTCTCAATCTTTAACGTTTGAAAAGATTTTTTTTCTCCCCGTGATCTCTCTCAATCTATAACGATTTGCGACCACTTTTTAAACAATTCTTAGGGCGCATAACATCGTTATTAGGGATTTGAGAAGCAAGTTTTCGAAAAGTATTCTTAGCTTGAATGATACATGTGTTATGAGGTGTGTTATGAAGTCAATACACGTGCTTCAATCCCAACCTCCCTATCCGGAAACAATGTTTAAAGAAGTACAACGTTTGACATGAGATTAAGGATATGTAAAGAAAAAATCTCTTCTAATCTTAATTTTATAAATAATTAATTAATTATTTTTTTTGCCTGAAACCAGTGGAAGGTCGAGCTCAGGACGGAGGCTACACTCAAATCAGTCAACCATATGGCTTTCAAATCCTGCAAGTCTGTATCACCCACGTTTCATTTCATATATGACACTCTCATACATCACAGAATCAATCATAATACACCCACCATTGTTCGTTTTTTCGAAACCCAATCAATAGCAAACAACTCAAATTTCACCGAGAACCAAGCTCTCACCATCTCTTACCTCACAAAGTCATGTGGGTTGTCTTTTAAATCTGCTCTCTCAGCTTCTATGAAGCTCAACATTGAGAGCACAGAGAAATCGAACTCGGTTCTTGAGCTCCTAAGGTCTCATGGATTCACTAAAAATCACATTTCATTCCTAATTTCTAAACGCCCACAATTAATTTTGGCTCATCCGGAGAATGTGAGGCCCAAATTTGAGTATATTGAATCTCAGGGTTATGTCGGACCTGACTTGCCTAAGATTATATGTTCATGTAACAGGTTACATAGCAGCTCAGACAACCGAATCAAACCCACATTTAATTTCCTTAAACCATACTTAAGGACCGATAAGAATTTAATCTATCCTTTTAAGCAATCTGCAAATTTCGTACGGGCAGCGTTGAGAAAGTTATGGTGCCAAACATCAACACCTTGCGGGCTCATGGTGTGCCTAAATCCCATATTGAAAAATTGATCATGAGGCAGCCCAGAGCACTAATATTGAGTGTTGATGTGTTTAAAGAGGTTACTAATGCAGTTAAGGAAATGGGTTTTGATCCCAAAAGTCAATCATTCTTATGGGCTATCCTTCCAATTTCGAGGAACACCAAACGCGATTGGGAATCAAAAAGAGAGCTTAAATGAGATTTGGCTGGTCTGAAAGCACTTTTAATTCGGCATTCAAATTGCGACCGACGTGTATGCTTTGCTCAAAGAAGAAGATCAGGAAAGTGATGGATTTCTTCGTGAACAAGGCGGGGTTAAGAGCATCAGAGATTGCTAAATACCCAAATCCTGTTCAACTCAGTTTGGAAACAAGAATCATTCCAAGATGTTCCGTTCTGCAAGTTCTGATGTCAAAGGGTTTAATTGGGAAGGATGTAAATGTGCTCCGCGTGTTAGATTACAGCGTAAAGAGATTCGAGACAAGGTTTCTGACAAGTATAGCTCCAGAGGTGCTCAAAGCGTACGCGTGGGTGAGATAGAATTTCATGGATTCAATACTAGATTGTAGGACAATGTGGAATCAGAGAATCGAGCAACTGCAAGATATGAGATTCTAGCAACAGCAGAGGATTAATAAATTATGTATGGTGTATGAGTTTCTATCAAAATGATTTGGCTGCATATGAGGTTTACCATCTAAGAATTGATCCTCCAAGACTTTCTGGTGGCTTATAATGTATAAGAAGAGGTAAGATCACCTTGTATGTCATAAAGATCGCATTGGCTATCTCTGTTAACTGTCACATCTTGAAATATTTCATGATTATGTTTCTCATCTGTGATGTTATTACATATGCTATAATTTTTAAAAATTGACAGCTCGAAGATTTGCTTTATAGTTCTTTTCTAGGTCCGCAGAATACTCGTGGTGATTGTGATGGTTGCTGTATGAATTTACATATCATTTATATATAATGGTTTGGTGAATTGTCTTGTTTTACCAATAAGATGACTTGTTCTTTATCAAGGGCTAGTGGTCATTTCTATGTGTGTTTGATACCATATATTATGCAAAACCTTTTATCTCTGGATTTAACTAGTGTGTATGAGAGATCTATTAATATGCAATTGTACATACAATAGAAGAAGAAACTCAGTGATCACATTTCTGATGAGTCGATTTTGAAGTTATATGCAGCCTGCTATGGACGAGATTGCGTCTAGGATATTTGAATTGAGGAGACTTGTAACTCAGCAGTTATTATTCGACCTTCAGTTTTGATTTTGATAGTATTTGGCAGGGAAGAAAATGAAATTGTGGTGAACTATCTTATTATTCTTGTGGTAATATTCTTTTTTGTCTAGCTCGCAAAAGTTGCACCTGAATTGCAGCGTCCCTGACATTAGATGTTGATATTTTAATTTTGTGGATGAACTGACACTGTCTGACTTGATGCTGAATGCACCCCTCTCTATCACACACACACAAGTACGTGCACACACTGAGGCACAACAATTTAGACACTCTAAATCCCTGCCTGCTTCAGATTTATATGCTGCTTGGAGGAACATGATCGAATTTGTTTATTGACTACTATAAATGTTAAGGAAATGAAGATTACAAAAAGATTATTTCCATTTTTGCTCGACTTTATTCCTGAGGTATGTACCACTCACTCTTATCAGTATGTTTGAATATTACCTAATCATCCCATGAAATTACAAAGTTGTACTCCATATGTTGTATTCATAAATAGTTACATACTCTCGGACATAATGCAAAATGCATGCTCATGTGCATAGTTACATCCGTAAAAGCAAACATGCATTTTATGCATGTAACCATCTAAAGATTACTGTGGTGAAGGACTATGACTGGGTCATGTACATTCTATTATTCAGCAAACATGCTTCAGCGCTAATTATTATATTCAGCAAGGAAGAAAATTTAATTATGCTGATTTATCTTATTTTGTAGTAATATTCTCTTTTCTTCTAGGTCGCAAATGGTATAGAATGGTGATAAGGACAAGATGAAAAGTTTGTTTAGAAGTGCATGTGTGCATGACTAAATACATTGGCAAAAAAAAAAAAAAAAAAATCTTCATTTTTTGGAGTTTTTAAGCAGCGTTTGAAGAGTTAATCCAAATAGGGCCTTAAGAGTTATTTAATAGAATAAGATTATTTATTTAATAGACTATTTAGTTTGAAAGACTATTTATTTAATAGACTATTTAGTCTTATTATTTCCGACTAATTTAAATTAGTCTTTTTAAATTAGTCTGAAAGACTATTTATTTAAATTAGTTTGAAAGACTATTTATTTAATTTAGAATAAGATTATTTATTTAATAGACTATTTAGTCTTATTATTTCAAACTAATTTAAATTAGTCTGAAATAATAATTTAGTCTTTTTAAAGATTACAATGTATTTTCCTTTTTAGTGATTTTGTTTGGTGATGATGCATGTACATTTTCCTTGAAGAAAGTCAAGGACTAATTCGATGACCTTTCCGTTAGGAAGCATCCAAAAGTAATTTATTAGGTTGGATAGTTGCTTTGGGCTGGGTTGAATGATTATTTGGTAAAGCACTGATTTTTGGAATACAAGTCAAAGAAGTTTTTATTCTGTTTAACAAATAGTCAAAAGTCGAAATTTATTTCACAAAAATCTTTAATTTCTTTTTTATTTAGATTTTTATAATTTTAAAGTCACAATTCAAAATTTCACTGACCCTAATTTTGTTAATACATACTAACCATTTCTCTTATTTATTAAATTATACTTATTTTTCTTATTTTTAAAAAAATTTGTATGCAAATAAAATATATGTGACTATAAGTTGATCATGATATGATGGATCATTTATTCATAAAAATATATGTACATTTTAAATTCTATTTTTATGTTTGATTTGTTCACATGATCCTTTTGATGTACGTATATATTAATAATACAATTACAGTAACAACACAACTTATATGTGATTACAAGTTGATCCATGATATAATTAATCATTTGTTCATAAAAATATATGTATGAACAATTATATAGCACTCAAAATAAATTTCAACCACAATATCATTTGGACACAATATCACACATTCATATATTACTTCACAAACTTAGTTCCAACTTCCACGAACAGAGTGTAAATCATGTACCTTCATTGAATTTTAGTTTCAACTTTTTTGTTTTTTTGTACCAGGCTACCAACTTTCGTTGCTGTCTTCTTTGCTTTTGGAAAATGTACATTAAAGCCTTCTTGCTTCAGGCTTTGAAGCTTTTTTTCTTTTTTGTCCAATACATTAACGGTTATTTATTTATTTTTTATTTGGGGTTCTGTACAAACTTTTTCAGCTCTATACAAAATAAGTTGCAATCATGCTCCAGACCCAGTTCATGGGATGAAGTCATTGGTTAAATAAAAGTTGCTATCATGCTTCAAAGTTCACGGGTTAAGTAAAATTTGTTACAAATTAATAATTACAGCAACAATGAACTTGTGGTACGTGCAAAAGACTTATTTGAGCTTTATATGGAATTTGGATAGATTTTAAGTGTTAGCGTCACATTTAGGTGTTGTAGTTGTCTAATCAACGTGATGAATTCTTCCATAATCTAACTTAGATCGTCTTTTTTCAGTAACGTGTTAATATTTTAATTTTATTTTTATGTTTGATTTGTTCACATTGTCCTTTTGATGTATGTATATATTAATACTACAATAACAGTAACAACACAACTCATATGTGACTAAGTTGTTAAAGTCTATTCTTTTGATGTTGTGCAAAATGTTCTTTCATATCCGTTCATTGGAGGCATTACTCATTAACTTTGTTGGTAGAATTCTAGCTCTATCTGTGTATCCGTATTGAAATCCTCTCTTTTTAATTTGTTAAGAAATATATGTGTGTGTGCGCGCGCGCGAGCGCACAATAATTTGTTTTACTTACTTTTGTTTTAATTTGTTAAGAAACATATTTAAGCACCTTGAGCTTGTTACCATGCAATATTGGTTCAATATTTCTGGGGTCATTTTTTTGGAATGGAAGCTGCTTCGTTTTTTCAATCTATTAGACCTATCCATTATCTGTTGTGAAACCAATTATAATAGTTAGCTTGTGCATTTTGAGCCAATTATCTTGTTCCAATTATGAAGCTCGTCGTGTGCTGTTCACGCGTGAGCTTATTTAAGACTCTTGTCAATTTTTCCTATATTTTTGACATAGCCATTCAATTACTATACTGAAATTGACAACATTAGCTAGCTGTGCAATTTGAGGTAGTTAACTGCTTATAAATTTATAATTATAAAACTCATAGTATATCGGTCAAGCTTGAGATTTTTTTCCTATGACTCAGTTGTCAAAAATTTATTCCCATTTTTGAACCGTGCCTTTCAATCACTTCTTGTGAAAATTCATAAGAAGATATATTATTTTTGTTCTTCGTTATGCAAGCTACTATGGAATGTTGGGAATGCAAACGATGTTGTGTTGCAGTTATTTTTGTCCAAAGTTTGTATTCGGGAGGGAAAGCACGCTAACCATGTATTTCTTCTTGCACCATAAATATGTTGAGCTAATACAATTTAAGAGCATAAATGCTTAACTATAGGCCTATAATACACTCCCATGAACTTGATAGGGCTTAATTTTATTCCTATAAGAAGTACTGGCTTTTATTTTTGTGATAAAAGATTTCTCTATATAAATTAAAGGTATAGGGACAAAAGCATAGATTTAGTATCATTGTTTCATTTTTCTTGTTCATAATCTTGACTACTGTAAGGGCTAAATGCTTCTGCCAACCAGTTCTTCCTCCAAGATGTCCATCCCATCTCTTCGCAGACTTCGTCGCTGTGGTTGATACTGAAGGTAGAAATGCAGTGCCCTCTTGTAAAACCTGGTTGTCCTCTTCATGATCTCCATCTCTTTAGTAGTCTGTTCGAACATCTTCTCCACATTGGGAAGCTTGAATTGGTCGTCCACAAGTTCAGCCAGCCATTTGCACCACTGCTCTCTAGAATGCTCTCTAGAATGCAGGTAAGATTCGCTTTACATCACAAAACTGGTTTGTGGACAAAACGGAAGGGAAAAAGTGATGCCATCAACTATAAGTTATGGTATAGGAATGGTCCCAGATCAAGGGTTGAATCATTCAAGGTTTTTTTTAAAAGTTATATTTAGAGT